AATTTTATCATAAAATGGTTGATTAAAGGTACTTGGACACAGATCTGAAGTTATTATTTTCTCTATAATATCACGACTTTTATATTTTAATGGCATTTCACACAAAAATTAATTAAAAATCTTATTTCATATAAAAGATACTAAAATTTCCAATTTTTTGGCGGGTTTGATTGACACATCTTTGCACTTTCACAAATTTTAACCTTATTCTTAATCCTTAGAAAAAGTGGCAAATCTTGTTTTGGGTGCATAAAAAATAATCATTTTGCTAGATGCACCTTTCTTCATCATAAATATATATACTTGGATCATTGGCATAAAACCCAGGAGCAAAGGAAGAGATTTTCAAAGAATGAATACATTTTCACTATGTAATCAATAGAGCCCCGCCCTAACACCATAATACTGACCCAGGGGCCATGAAATACAAAATTTTGGAAGAGACACTCTTGCTCATCATAACTATGTGCTTAGTTAGTTTATTTAATACCCAGAAGCAGAGAAGACGATTTTTAAAGAATAAATGCATTTTCACTATATAATTAATAGAGCCCCGCCCTAACACCAGAACCCCTGGCCCTAGGGCCATAAAATTCACAATGTTGGAAAAGGTACTCTTGCTCATCATAACTATGTACTTAGTTAGTTTATTTAATACCCAGGAGCAGAGAAGAAGATTTTCAGAGAAATAATGCATTTTCACTATATAATCTATATAGCCCCGCCCTAGCACTAGAACCCCTGACCCCGGTGCCATAAAATTCAAAATTTTGAAAGATACAGTTTTGCTCATCATAACTATGTGCTTAGTTAGTTTATTTATTACCAAGAAGCGGAGATGAAGATTTTCAAAGAAATAATACAGTTTCACTATATAATCAATAGAGCCCCGCCCTAACACCAGAACCCCTGACCCGGGGGCCATAAAATTCACAATTTTGGAAGAGGCACTCTTGCTAATCATAACTATGTACTTAGTTAGTTTATTTAATACCCAGGAGCAGAGAAGAAGATTTTTAAAGAAAGAATGCATTTTCACTATATAATCTATATAGCCCCGCCCTAGCACTAGAACCCCTGACCCTGGGGCCGTGAATTTCACAATTTTGGTAGAGGACCCAATGCTCAATACATTCATGCAAACAGTTTCCCTGCATGATGTCCAGGAGTAAAAAAGAAGATTTTTAAAGATTGCAATAATTTTAGTGGTTTTGGCCCCACCCCCAGGCCCCAGGGGGGCAAGGACCATGAAATTCACAATTTATGTTCCCCTTCACCCATAAATGCTGTATACCAAATTTGATTGAAATTGGTTCAGTGGTTTCAGAGAAGAAGCTGAAAATGTTCAAATGTTAACACACGACGGACGACGCACGACGACGGATGAAAACGGATAGCAATAGGTCACCTGAGTTACTCAGGCATCTGCTTTTTACATAAATTGCAGAAGAATTCAAATTTAAGATGTGACCAAGTTGTTCCTGAGAAAATGACTTTTAAATAACACCACCTAATTTTTACTATTTCTTAATTATTCCCACTTAGAAGAAGGTGTGGCCCTTCAAATGAACAAACTTAACTCCCATTACCCAAGGATATTCTGTGCCAATTTTAGTTAAAATTGGCTTCATGGTTCTTCACACTCAGAAAAGAAGATGAAAATGAGAAAAGTTTATGTTGACAACAACGACACCAACAACATCAGACATCGGACAAATTTTGATCAGAAAACCTCATGCACTTGAGCCTTTAATTTACTCAGGTTAGCTAAAAGATACAAAACAAGAGGCCCAGGGGCCACAGCACTCACCTGAGCACATCGGGCTTGAATTTACTCCCCCCCCCCCTCCAGGCATTCATCATTTGAACAAACTAGAATCTACACTACCTGAGGATGATTCCATATAAATATCACTAATCATAGCTTTGAAGTACTTGAAAAGAAGATTTTTAAAGATTTTTCCTATATATTCCTATGTAAAACTTGGGTCGGCCATTTTGGCCCCACCCTTGCCCCGGGGGTCATGATTTGAACAAACTTGAATCTACACTACCTGAGGATGATTCCACATGAGTTTCATCTTTCCTGGCCCAATGGTTCTGGAGAAGAAGATTTTTAAAGATTTTTCCTATATATTCCTATGTAAAACTAGGGTCGGCCATTTTGGCCCCACCCTTGCTCCGGGGGTCATGATTTGAACAAACTTGAATCGACACCACCTGAGGATGATTCCACATGAGTTTCATCTTTCCTGGCCCAGTGGTTCTGGAGAAGAAGATTTTTAAAGATTTTTCCTATATATTCCTATGTAAAACTTGGGTCAGCCATTTTTGCCCCACCCTTGCCCCGGGGGTCATGATTTGAACAAACTTGAATCTACACTACCTGAGGATGATTCCACATAAGTTTCATCTTTCCTGGCCCAGTGGTTCTGGAGAAGAAGATTTTTAAAGATTTTATTTACATATTCCTATGTAAAACTAGGGTCAGCCATTTTGGCCCCACCCTTGCCCCGGGGGTCATGATTTGAACAAACTTGAATCTACACTACCTGAGGATGATTCCACATGAGTTTCATCTTTCCTGGCCCAGTGGTTCTGGAGAAGAAGATTTTTCCTATATATTCCTATGTAAAACTTGGGTCGGCCATTTTGGCCCCACCTTTGCCCCGGGGGTCATGATTTGAACAAACTTGAATCTACACCACCTGAGGATGATTCCACATGAGTTTCATCTTTCCTGGCCCAGTGGTTCTGGAGAAGAAGATTTTTAAAGATTTTTCCTATATATTCCTATGTAAAACTTGGGTCGGCCATTTTTGCCCCACCCTTGCCCCGGGGGTCATGATTTGAACAAACTTGAATCTACACTACCTGAGGATGATTCCACATGAGTTTCATCTTTCCTGGCCCAGTGGTTCTGGAGAAGAAGATTTTTAAAGATTTTTCCTATATATTCCTATGTAAAACTTGGGTCGGCCATTTTGGCCCCACCCTAGCCCTGGGGGTCATGATTTGAACAAACTTGAATCTACACTACCTGAGGATGATTCCACACAAGTTTCATCTTTCCTGGCCCAGCGGTTCTGGAGAAGAAGATTTTTTAAAAATGCCATTAATTTTTAACAAATTCATGATTATCTCCCCTTGGAAAAGGGCATGGCCCTTCATTTGAACAAAATTAAATCCCCTCCACCCAAGGATAATTTGTACCAAGTTTGGTTGAAATTGGCCCAGTGGTTCTTGAGAAGAAGATGAAAATGTGAAAAGTTTATGACAACAACGACAACGACAACGACAACAACGATGACAGACAACGGACAAATTTTGATCAGAAAAGCTCACTTGAGCCTTTGGCTCAGGTGAGCTAATAATAATCAAGGTCAGTTTTCCATACCTGAAGGATTCTCATCCTTGATAAGGTCAAGAAAATCCACAATGACATGAATCCAGTTTTATTCCTTCAGTCTGTTCTCCAAATCTTAAACCTTAAAATAAAAGGAATATACTCAGAAGTATATTCATACATTAATTTTAATAACATGATTTTATAAAAAGATTCTGAGAAACTGAAAGAATGTTATAAGTAATAACACAAAATTTGTTGTTTCTGATATCGCATAGTAGCATTAAATTAGAAATATGTCCATAGGACATGAATACCCTGCCAAGGATATACTAGTAATGCAACATGAAAATTTGTATGAAATTTTATCAGAATATCTTAAAAATTATGCAGTTGAATTGCTTACATCAGTATGTATCAGCATATGAAGTTTGACTCTAATTTCTGAAAAGTGAGGTCAAAAGGTCAAATGAAAGGTCAAGGTCAAAAATCTTGTTGCAGTTGAATTGCTCTCATCAGTATATGAAGTTTGATAAAATATCTTGGATGGTTTCTTTAAAACTGAGCTAAACACTAATATAAGAAAAGTGTGGTCAAAGGAAAGGTCAAGGTCAAAAATGTTGATGCAGCTGAATAGCTCTCTCATCAGAATGTATCAACATGTGAAGTTTGTTAATACCATCTTGAATGATATGTTTAAAACTGAGCTTAACACTAATTCAAGAAAAATGAGGTCAAGATCAAAAGAAAGGTCAAGGTCAAAAATGTAGATGCAGTTGAATGTTTCTCATCATTATGTATCAGTACATAAAGTTTGAAAAAAAATATATGTTGGATGGTTTCTTTAAAACTGAGCTAAACAATAATTTAAGAAAAGTGTGGTCAAGGTCAAAAAAGTTGATGCAGTTGCATAGCTCTGATCAGTATATATAAATTTCTACTTTTCTTCAGTATTAGGTATAAAGTGTACAGCACTTTCTGAAAGTGCAAGGATGTGTGAATCAAATGAGTCCCAAAATTGGTAGTTAAAAAAATATATTTTATTGGAAATGCTATGCTATAGTAACTTTTTAAAATAACTGTGGAAAAGAATTACAACTAAAACTAGTTTGAATATGAGAATAAGAGTTTTTTTTCAACTTGTAGGCATCAACTCAAAAGTGTTAATATTCATTTGAAGGATCAACAAATTAAGTTGCATATGAAAATAATGATTTTGCATTCATTTCAGCAAAACACTGCTACTATTTGCTAAAAATTGTTTGATAAGATAATTAATGCATTGTACATACCAGATGAACTGATATTTTACAATGATTTTTTAAAAGTTTGATCATTTGAGTGTTCATTAAATTAGCACTCCATAGTACATTCAGTAATGTACACATAAACACCAAAACTTCTCCTCTGCTTTTAAGGGCTTGGAACCTTCTGCTTGAAATAACATGTTAATTCAAGCAGGCAGCATTAAAAGTTTTGTGCCTTTTTTTCATTTTTTTACTTTCTCTCTCACTTTTTTTCTGTTTTTTTTGTTGTTGTTTTTTTTGTTTTGTTTTTTTTTTCACAATTTTTTTTTTCATTGGTGTTTTTTTTTTGTGTTTTTTTTCTTTCTTTCTTTTTTCTTTTTCTTTTCTTTTTTTTTTTTTGTTTTTGTTTTTGTTTTATTTTAATTTTTTTTTTTTTTTTTTTTTTTTTTTTTTTTTTTTTTTTTTTTTTTTTTTTTTTTTTTTTTGGCACAAAACTTGCCAATGAGATAAAAATAATTTCAAATTTACAATTCAAAATTCAACATGACAATTCACATTTTCACATCAACAATTTACAATTGCATTAAACAATCACAATTTAACATTTTAAATCATTGATTTAACATTAACAAATCACAAATTAACATTTACAAATCACCGGCAATTTAACATTTGTCATTGACAAAAATCACTATTTTACGTTTTCAAATGCAATTGTACAATTTTTTATTCATTTCTTTCACTGCATATTTAGTCACATCAGTATATATAGAGCATTCAATTTCAATACAAGCTAATAACGAAAAGGTGACAATACAAATACAAATTATTCTTTCTACAACAGTTGACAGAATTTACACATATTCTATGAATACTTATGTCCTATTAAACAATCATTACATCAGCGGAAACATATTTAACTTCATCAAATCAATTACAATAATGAAGCATTTTCTCATTGGCATAATAATAAAAAGATAATTAAAGACAAAGCAGCCTCCAACTAGTCCCTTTCAGCTTCTCCTCCCCAGGCCAGCCTGGCTACCATGGCGGCGAAGGAACTTAAGTTCCAACCAGTAATGCCCCAGGGTATCGATAAAACCTACTTACAACTAGCCTTCAACTACTTCATCTTAACAATATGAATCTAATATAGCTAATGAAGAAGAAAGAGAAAGCTGGGGTCAGTGTGGGAGGAAGACGGAGTACCCGTAGAGAACCCACGTGTCCGAATGGGTGACCCCATACCCTGACATAATTCGGACACCCTTTACAAAAATTTATATTTTTAAAATAGTCTTTGAAGAAAAAATTGTTGCTAAAATGGATTTACATCAGTGCTTTAAAGGTGTGGATTAATCATTAATTAATTCCTGCTTCTTCATCCACACACATGATCTCAAGGATGTTCCTTCTAGAAGTTCCTTTGATTTTCTGTAAATGAACAATAGGCAAGAGGTAATTGTCAGGTTTGAATAAAAAAAATTAAGAAGAGACCTATATGCTACATTGCTCACCTGAGCTCTAAGGCTAGGAAAAAGCAGAAATCAATACAGTACTGAGGATCACCATATTTTCACACCTTAGTTTAGTGACTTATAAGCTATTTGGCATTAATTAGCGAAACAACATTTTCGCTACCTGTTGTTTCTGTTGTATATAAACATAAATAATGCAAATATACATAAGAATAAATTTTTTGCGAGCAGACAGCCCCTCTTGAGAAATTTTCACTCATATAGGAATGCAACATTTTTCAGGGGAGAGCTACAAATGCAGACCTATACTTGGTATTAAGGCTATAGAGCAGTGAGGGATTTTTTTTGCACCTACTGCAACATGGCACCACAGTTTATATGATCTCAGTAAAAGACTGGTCTTCTTGTCCCACAGTGGGATTCGAACCCACAACGGTAGGATCAACTCCTTTATACTATGCTACTCTATAGCAGATTCTCTTAAATATCACTGTACCATGCAACAAGAACACAAAATGTGAAAGAAGATGGGGGAACAAGGCGGGCAGAATGCCCATAGCATCAGATATTTAAAAAATTGTATTCAATATGTGAATTGAGTATTTACCTTGACCTTGCTTAATATAAAAAATAAGATGATTTGGAATATGATAATGTCATATACCTGATCAGTATCAGCTATTCACTGTGGTATGTCTTGGTGAAAAAGTCAACATCCATCAGGCATAAATTGTCCTCCGGGTGTTTCCACCAAGTCTTGTTGGGAACATCTACATTTTGAAGATCATTGTCCATCAAGCTTGTCTGTGTTTATTGTTTCCACCAATTCCTTTTGGGTGTAGCTGGTGTTTTCACATATTGGATTATCATTGTCCATCAAGTTTGCCTCAAGATTCATAATGGCCTTGCCTCCTCAAGATTTATTTCACTAAGTCGTTTTAGAAGTATTTGCTGTTTCCCATCTTTCCACCAATTCCTTTTGGGTGTAGCTGGTGTTTTCACATATTGGATAATCATTGTCCATCAAGTTTGCCGCAATATTAATAATGACCTTGTCTCCTCAAGATTTATTTCACAAAGTCTTTTTAGAAGTATTTGTTGTTTTCCCATCTTTCCACCAATTCCTTTTGGGTGTAGCTGGTGTTTTCACATATTGGAAAATCATTATCCATCAAGTTTGCCTCAAGATTCATAATGGCCTTGCCTCCTCAAGATTTATTTCACTAAGTCCTTTCAGAAGTATTTGCTGTTTTCCCATCTTAAAAGAGGTTCATCAAGCTTGTCTATTCCAGTTGTTTCCACAAGGTTCTGTTGGCTGCAGCTGCAGTAAAAGTCAGAAGAAAATAAATGGAGAAAATACACCACTGAAGTTTCTAAGAAAAATCCTCATTTAACTTTTTAAATAATTGTTCTGTTGTCGCAACAGTGGTTAAACATATATGTTTTATATTATTAAGCAAAAATTCAATATTGATGTAAAGAGTTGGTTTATCTAGCTGAACACCATAACAAAATTCAGCTATTGCTGACTTTAAGAAATAAGACAAGCTAAAATTTTAGCCAGTTAGTTAATTTGACTTTGTTAATAAAATGATCTTAGATTATGATAATGTCACATACCTGATAAATGTCAGATCAGCATCCTTTGGCTATTCATCCTCCAGTTGTTTCTATCAGGTCCTTTTGGGTTCATCTACTGTTTTCACCATGTACTGTTGGGTGCATTTGCTGTTTCCACATCTTGGAAGATCAGCAAGTACTGGCTATGCATCATCAAGTTGTTTCTATCAATGTCCAGTTGGGTGCTTCTGCTGTTACACGTCTTGTTGAGGACACCTGCTGTTTCCACATCTTGGAAGATTAGCATCCAATGGCCCTATCTCCTCCAGCTGTTTCCACCATGCCATGCCCTTGTTTACATAAAGATTATTACTATGAAGTTTGGCTGTATATATTATTGATTTGAAATGGAACATTATAAATCTATAATCTAACGATAATACTTCATTTCATTTTTCTATATACAGCAAAACTTGTTTAGTACGAACAAGGATATTGCCAATTCGCGGTTATAGCGAAATTATCTTGGATCTCAGAGCTTAATAAATTTAACGAATTCCTTATACGGATATAACAAATTATGGATATAGTGAAGTAATTTTATAGGTCCCCGTGACTTCGTTTTAACCAAGTTTTACTGTATTTTTCAATTATTATCAATTCAATATTTTCTATCTTACCTTATCGATGATGGTTTAGAATTTGGCTTATTTCTCTTCTTCTTTAGTGAATTGTCCAACTATAAAATACTAACAAAATTTTAAAATAGAGCTGAAATAATAGATACTGAGTAAAACTTGTTTGGTACAAACACAGATATTGTGAATTCACAGATATAGCAGTTATCTTGAATCCCTAGCTATATAAATTTTGCTGAAATCATTACATGGATTTAACAAATTATGGATATAGCAAAGTAATGTCATTAGTCCCAGTGACTTCGTTATAAATGAGTTTTACTGTAATAAGGCCCTCATTAACACAGGTGCTTTGGGTGAAACACACTGTTTCCTCATTATCCAACATGTCTAATGTTGATGATGCTAATGCACAATGCAACAATGAACATTAGACATATTCTTAGGAATAATAAATGCAATAACAAATAAAAATCACAACAATAATAATTAACAAAAATTCATAACCATCATAACAAATAATTAAAAATCTCAACTAAAGCAAATAACTAAAACACATAACTATAACAAATAACTTAACTCATAACAACTAATTAAAGCTCATAACAATAACAACTAATTAACACTCATAACAATAACAAATAATAAAAAATCACAACAACAGCAAATAATTTAAGCTCCTAACAAGTAAAACTCATGACTGCCTCAATAACAAATGACTGAAACTCATAACAATGTCAATTATAAAAACATTAAAAACATAATGTAACAATTAACAAATAAAACATGAAAATTAACAACTTTTACAACCCTCACAAACAAAAAACTATAATAACAACTCAATAAACAAATAACAATTATAATAAAAACCTAATGAACAAAAAACAACAAATACTAACAAAGGAAACAAAATAAAAACCAAAAAGTAAGAGCTAAAATAACAAAGAGACCTAACATCAAAGAAATACAAAAAAAACCTCCACTCCAGCGTTGTTGGCATGCTGTTCCAATCCAATATGCCCAGCCTCCTCCAAGTCCTCTAATAATGAAGAAACATCCCACTCCAAGTGCACCATCTCCAACGATGACATCCCGGCAAAGAGAGAACAGAGAAGATTAGACAAAGAAAAAACAACAGAACAAAAAACAAAAGGAAAGAACTACTACAAAAAATGTGTTGAGAAGGGAAGGGGAGGGAAATGTTAGTACTAATTAGTAAGAGTGCAAAAATGATAATGAAACCAACTCACCTCTGCTTTTCCTTAACAACTAAGCAATACCTCTGTTCCAGCGTTGTTGGCATGCTGTTCTACCTCTTCCTCCAATGATAAAGAGCCAGCAGCCTCCATGTGTACCAACTCCAACGATGACATCCCGGCAAAGAGAGAACAGAGAAGATTAGACAAAGAAAAAACAACAGAACAAAAACATAAGGAAAGAACTACAAAAAAAATGTGTTGAGAAGGGAAGGGGAGGGAAATGTTAGTTCTAATTAGTAAGAGTGAAAAAATGATAATGAAACCAACTCACCTCTGCTTTTCCTTAACAACTAAGCAATACCTCTGTTCCAGCGTTGTTGGCATGCTGTTCCAATCCAAGATGCCCAGCCTCTTCCTCCAATGATAAAGAGCCAGCAGCCTCCATGTGCACCAACTCCAACGATGACATCCCGGCAAAGAGAGAACAGAGAAGATTAGACAAAGAAAAAACAACAGGACAAAAAACAAAAGGAAAGAACTACTACAAAAAATTTGTTGAGAGTGGGGGAGGGAAGGGAAATGTTAGTACTAATTAGTAAGAGTGCAAAAATGATAATGAAACCAACTCACCTCTGCTTTTCCATAACAACTAAGCAATACCTCTGTTCCAGCGTTGTTGGCATGCTGTTCCAATCCAATATGCCCAGCCTCCTCCAACGATGAAGAGCCAGCAGCCTCCATGTGCACCATCTCCAACGATGACATCCCGGCAAAGAGAGAACAGAGAAGATTAGACAAAGAAAAAACAACAGAACAAAAAACAAAAGGAAAGAACTACTACAAGAAATGTGTTGAGAGTGGGGGAGGGGAGAGAAATGTTAGTACTAATTAGTAAGAGTGCAAAAATGATAATGAAACCAACTCACCTCTGCTTTTCCTTAACAACTAAGCAATACCTCCACTCCAGTTGTTGGCATGCTGTTCCAATCCAATATGCCCAGCCTCCTCCTCCAATGATGAAGAGCCAGCAGCTTCCAAGTGCACCCTCTAGAAACGATGACATCCCGGCAAAGAGAGAACAGAGAAGATTAGACAAAGAAAAAACAACAGAACAAAATACAAAAGGAAAGAACTACTACAAAAAATGTGTTGAGAAGGGAAGGGGAGGGAAATGTTAGTACTATTTAGTAAGAGTGCAAAAATGATAATGAAACCAACTCACCTCTGCTTTTCTTTAACAACTAAGCAATACCTCTGTTCCAGCGTTGTTGGCATGCTGTTCCAATCCAAGATGCCCAGCCTCTTCCTCCAATGATAAAGAGCCAGCAGCCTCCATGTGCACCAACTCCAACGATGACATCCCGGCAAAGAGAGAACAGAGAAGATTAGACAAAGAAAAAACAACAGGACAAAAAACAAAAGGAAAGAACTGCTACAAAAAATTTGTTGAGAGTGGGGGAGGGAAGGGAAATGTTAGTACTAATTAGTAAGAGTGCAAAAATGATAATGAAACCAACTCACCTCTGCTTTTCCATAACAACTAAGCAATACCTCTGTTCCAGCGTTGTTGGCATGCTGTTCCAATCCAATATGCCCAGCCTCCTCCAACGATGAAGAGCCAGCAGCCTCCATGTGCACCATCTCCAACGATGACATCCCGGCAAAGAGAGAACAGAGAAGATTAGACAAAGAAAAAACAACAGAACAAAAAACAAAAGGAAAGAACTACTACAAGAAATGTGTTGAGAGTGGGGGAGGGGAGAGAAATGTTAGTACTAATTAGTAAGAGTGCAAAAATGATAATGAAACCAACTCACCTCTGCTTTTCCTTAACAACTAAGCAATACCTCCACTCCAGCGTTGTTGGCATGCTGTTCCAATCCAATATGCCCAGCCTCCTCCTCCAATGATGAAGAGCCAGCAGCCTCCATGTGCACCAACTCAAACGATGACATCCCGGCAAAGAGAGAACAGAGAAGATTAGACAAAGAAAAAACAACAGAACAAAAAACAAAAGGAAAGAACTACTACAAAAAATGTGTTGAGAAGGGAAGGGGAGGGAAATGTTAGTACTATTTAGTAAGAGTGCAAAAATGATAATGAAACCAACTCACCTCTGCTTTTCCTTAACAACTAAGCAATACCTCTGTTCCAGCGTTGTTGGCATGCTGTTCCAATCCAAGATGCCCAGCCTCTTCCTCCAATGATAAAGAGCCAGCAGCCTCCATGTGCACCAACTCCAACGATGACATCCCGGCAAAGAGAGAACAGAGAAGATTAGACAAAGAAAAAACAACAGGACAAAAAACAAAAGGAAAGAACTACTACAAAAAATTTGTTGAGAGTTGGGGAGGGAAGGGAAATGTTAGTACTAATTAGTAAGAGTGCAAAAATGATAATGAAACCACCTCACCTCTGCTTTTCCATAACAACTAAGCAATACCTCTGTTCCAGCGTTGTTGGCATGCTGTTCCAATCCAAGATGCCCAGCCTCCTCCAACGATGAAGAGCCAGCAGCCTCCATGTGCACCATCTCCAACGATGACATCCCGGCAAAGAGAGAACAGAGAAGATTAGACAAAGAAAAAACAACAGAACAAAAAACAAAAGGAAAGAACTACTACAAGAAATGTGTTGAGAGTGGGGGAGGGGAGAGAAATGTTAGTACTAATTAGTAAGAGTGCAAAAATGATAATGAAATCAACTCACCTCTGCTTTTCCTTAACAACTAAGCAATACCTCCACTCCAGCGTTGTTGGCATGCTGTTCCAATCCAATATGCCCAGCCTCCTCCTCCAATGATGAAGAGCCAGCAGCCTCCATGTGCACCAACTCCAACGATGACACCCGGCAAAGACAGAACAGAGAAGATTAGACAAAGAAAAAACAACAGAACAAAAATCAAATGGAAAGAACTACTACAAAAAATGTGTTGAGAAGGGAAGGGGAGGGAAATGTTAGTACTAATTAGTAAGAGTGCAAAAATGATAATGAAACCAACTCACCTCTGCTTTTCCATAACAACTAAGCAATACCTCTGTTCCAGCGTTGTTGGCATGCTGTTCCAATCCAAGATGCCCAGCCTCCTCCAATGATGAAGAGCCAGCAGCCTCCATGTGCACCCTCTCCAACGATGACATCCCGGCAAAGAAAGAACAGAGAAGATTAGACAAAGAAAAAACAACAGAACAAAAAAAAAAAAAGGAAAGAACTACTACTACAAAGTATGTGTTGAGAGGGGAAGGGGAGAGAAATATTAGTATTAATTAGTAAGAGTGCAAAAATGATAATGAAACCAACTCACCTCTGCTCTGCATAACAACTAAGCAATACCTCTGTTCCAGCGTTGTTGGCATGCTGTTCCAATCCAATATGCCCAGCCTCCTCCAACGATGAAGAGCCAGCAGCCTCCATGTGCACCCTCTCCAACAATGACATTCCAATCCAATATGCCCATCCTCCTCCTCCAATGATGAAGAGCCAGTCGCCTCCAAGTGCACCAACTCCAACGATGACATCTCGGCAAAGAGAGAACAGACAATATTAGACAAAGAAAAAACAACAGAACAAAAAGAAAAGGAAAGAACTACTACAAAAAATGTGTTGAGAGTGGGGGAGAGGAGGGAAATGTTAGTACTAATTAGTAAGAGTGCACAAATGATAATGAAACCAACTCACCTCTGCTTTTCCTTAACGACTTAGCAATACCTCTGTTCCAGCGTTGTTGGCATGCTGTTCCAATCCTAATTATGCCCAGCCTCCTCCAAGTCTTTGTAATACCATCTCCAACAATGAAGTCTCCGCAAAGAGAGAACAAAGAAATCCATTCCAGTGTTGTCTGCATGCTGTTCCAATTCATTTTGCCCTTCCTTCTCCAAGTCCTTATTACTTCAACTTCATAATGAAGTGCTGGGAAATTGAGAAGAAGGAATAAGATGAAAAAAGGCAAACAAACAAATTCACAAAGAAAACACTTTGTTAGAGAATTGGGTAGAAGATGAAAACATACTATTAGGTAATCAGAGATCAAAGTTCACCTCAATGAAAGTTGTCTTTAAGTAAGGCAAAGTCCCGCAATTAACATTCTAGAAGTTACATCCCAAAATGCAAAATTTATGCACTTTTGATCTGATACGGCTTGCAGTTGCTTAGAAATAGACCTATCCAAAAACTTAAAACTAGGCACCCATCAAGAAAATGTAAAAGCCACCTGTGACGTCATTCTTTTGTTTGAGCGCTCCATTACTTTTAAGGAATGGAGAGTTGCAAATTACATTGAAAACGGAATTTGTTATGGTCTTATTCTCCTTTCCGTGCCTCTTCCAAGGAAAGAAATTAGAAAATTTTAGAGAAGAGTTTTCGAAGATTGTAAAG